TAAACTAGCACTTGACATGATCTGCAATGTCTCTATAAAGGCTCACTTGGTACTGATTACCTTCTGTCAGCAGCAGTTAATAAATAACTAATACACACCTTTCATGTTTCACTAATAGGACAGCTTGCAGCGATTTACCAGCGCTCAACAAGCTGTGTTCCAGTAATAAATTAGTAACACATACTTTTCGGGTTACCCTTGTTCTGAAGTGTTTCTAAATTTGTCATCACCCTTTCACCTAACACGCAAATAAGGATGTGATTTTTGATTCTCGCATTAATGCTACGTAAATGCCTCATTTTTGGTGACATGCTTGAAGAACCTTTTTTTTTTACAACATTAATATATCCATTTTGCAGCCGTCAACTAATGGCCGAGATAAGATGACTGTTTCCCCGGCAGAGTTTTATAAATAAACTGCCAGTGTCTGAAGGCCTACTCTGTCATGACCAGCTCGAGGCAGGAGCTGTTTCCTGTGCTTCCTGCAAACCCTGCCATTTTAGGAAGACCTGTCAGATATGTGTCTTAACGAACATTACGGTCAATGTAACCACACAATTCTAGGACTGCCACATGCCCCATGCCAGCATTACTGAGCTTCTTCTTCATTCTGACAGATGCAGCCAAATGTCTGTATCTCCACTCTGCAATGACATACAAAAGGTCTGACTGATTGCGAGACTTGTCATTTGACAAAGTGGATGCAATCCTACATCAGACTGCAACATGCTTTTTTTTTATGCGGTTGCAAGAGTAAGCAGATCCACTTGCTATGCGTTTAATTCCTTGTCTCACTGTTTTCAATTTCTGAAGGACCGCAGGAAGAGATGGCAGCAAGTGTGTATTATTATTATTATTATTATACGTGTTTTAGAAAGCATATTTCGTAATTGATTAATGGGATGTTGTAATGTGACCATTGCGGTTCTGTGCGGGCTCGTGCCCTCCGCCACCCGTTTCATCCCACAACACCTGGGGCACAAACCTGGGACTCCAGTGTAACACAACAGGGAACCAGCCGCATGAGCTAAAAGAGACCTTCCTCAGCCCAGGTAGCCAAGGTCCCTGCTACGCGTCGTGAGGCACTGACATCACTGTATCCGAACTAGCTCCGCTACACCAACAGCATCACAACATAATCACAGACGAGTAAAACAGGGTCATAGAGTACTGTACTATAATAGAGCCCCTAAAAATCTACAGAAGGGAATTCTACAGTTGTAGAACCACAAAAGTGAAGACTGCAGCACACACAGATCTTAATTGAATCCTTGGACAACACAGAAGATCAGAATCTGTGAACCTCAGGTTCAGACAAGTAGTACAGGAGTTAGTAGTTCTCTTGAATTTGGTAGGAACTACAGTAGGCCGTTCAGAGTCTTGTATGTCAACAAAAGACGCTTGCTATTCATTCTATGCTTGACTTGGAGCCAATGAATAGAAGCAATATGGGTATAATATGATCACTGAAACCAGTCCTTAATAATACCTTGGTAACAAGAATTTTGAACATCCTATAATATTCTAAAAGTCTTCTCCAATACTCCAGCAAGGATATCACGGTTCTTAAAAGGGTAACACTACATAAATTAAAGGCAGACACCTTTTTACATTTAACCTTATAGCATAGTCATTTCAAGAAGAATACAAAAGATTTTTAATTGATGTCAAGGACTCACTAATCCATCACCAGTTGTCCTAATGCTGCTTTATTTGTTAACCGGCAAGAATAAAAAAGAATAAGTGGAGTAAAACAGGGTAAACTAAGTACTACGTTTATACCACTTTGTAAGCTTCACAAACATAAACAATTTTTTGATAAGACAAAGAGTTTGCAACTAATGAAACCAATTATTGGCACTAATTAATTCTTGTTCATAGCTTGAAAAATTATATTTCTCATGTCAAGTGATTTACTTTATAACTAGGAATTTTGTAGAGAAAGTTCATGCTATTTACATTGGCAAAACAGCAAGATTAGCCAACTGTTTTAAGGAACATGTCAAAGCAGAGTGATCTAATGTTCTCTCCAAGCCAATACCTTCTCATTTTACCTCTGCAGGCCATGACTGCACTGACCTTTCTACAGTATCTCCTTCCTTTTACAGGGTCTGAAGGACTCTTATTCTAGGAAGACATCAGAATTTAAAGCTATCTTAAAAATAAGGATCACACATTCCACAATCTCTCAATGGTCAAATCATCCAATTTAAAAAAAAAACAATAATGTGTTCATTGGAATTAAATCTGTTGTTTGTTTTGTAATAACTTCTACGTGTGCTTCATGTGAAAAAATCTGAAAATCCCAAAAAGCCTTGAGATCTTTTATTATAGGCTTTATCGCACATCTGAAAGCTGAATGTGACAGAATCTCTACTGTACATCACCTGACAAGAAAACATCATTGGAGATGTTTGAAGAAAACAATGTATGATTTCTACAGATTTTTATATCAGTTGTTTGATGTCAACACCTACAATCTGTGGCCACAATTTTCATTTTAAGATTGCTGACACTGAACATGGAATCACATGTATTTCTTTATTAAGTATATTTATTGTTCAGGGTACATTTTTATTAAAACAAAACTGAGTAACAATTTAGTTGTCTGAAAAATATGTATTTCATGACTTTTAAGTGTATGCTTCATTTCTTTGTTACTGATAAGTTACTATAGTTTTGAATTTTAATAATATTCACTAATATATGTTTTCACTAAGAACAAATATTCACTAAGAACAAATTAAAAAATACAGAGACAATCTAAAAATACTGCCTACTGACATTGTTAGAATATGAAAAATGTTATTCATTTTTGGGATTCAATATCTCAGCTTCTGGGATATTGCAAGTCTAACACAATGTGCATCTGTGTTCTAAATCGACTAATAAATGTGATATTTGCGACTGGCACTTTGATGAATAAAAACTGTTATCGCTTGTTCCTTCTTAGTATACTCTTACTTCTATGGATGTTCAGTTTTTGTGGGGTTTCAAACAAATCCCCTCTGGGTTTTAAGGAAGGCCACTTGGCAAATACCTTAATTATTTAATAACCCCATCAAACCATTTCATAAAATTCACTTGCAAAGTCAGCGTCATTAATATTGTTGATGAAATTGTTCTCGATCTCCACGATCGTCAGTATAAACATGTCTGTGGATTACACTGCATTTTCAGGCTCAGATTCAGACTGACTGAAGATGCTCTCCGTGTTGTTGATTTTGGAAGTACACTAAATGTGCGAATCCTTTTAAAATGAGGCACCTGAGGTACCTGAATGTCTAATCTTGTCTAGCAATTAGCAAATGGTTGATTGTGAACCTTTTAGCACAGTAAATGAATGGGAAACCACTACCTCACTTGTAAACTCTATGTTCTGGAGAAAGTGCAACCATTCCCAACTGTCCCATTCCCATAAGGGGAATGTACAACCTCCTTTGTTGTTCAACATCTGTCTAAATGAACCACCTGCGGTCTTGGCGTATGAAGATTCAATTATGAGAACATACATCTGTGATGTCTGCATTGACATACAGTATAGTCCAAAGAAATTAATCAGATAGAAGTTATGTTAGCATCAGAACTAAATGGGTTATTAGGACACTCCAGAATACGAACAAACTGATTCCATGTCCTAAAAAATGTCTCCAGCCTCTTCCATCTCCGAAACCATGACCTTAGCAGACTATGGCCTCAGAAGATGGTCTGCAGTCTCCAATCTGAGGAGTTGAAGGCAATGAGATTGCTGTTGTGTGCACTGACATTAGGACATCATTCCATAGTTACAGTATAGAAGAAGCATGTTATTTACACTCATTGTCATACTTTTTTAAATGATATCTGACAATGAATATGTCTTTGAAGGTGGAGGTGTTAAAGAAGGCAGCCGTCGTTGAATCAACTGATTTATGAACTACGCACATGACTCATGAATGTGACCCTTTATCGCGTCTTTTTTCTATGCGCGCACCCAAACACAGCTTGTCTCTGCAGTGTCACAGCAGTCTCTGAATAGAAGCAACACACTTTAATCACCCTTTAACCTACACACAAATACTACTGCAACCCCAATTTAGAAAAAAATAACTTAATTTCTATATCTGCTTTTCTGAAATGCACTTGTTAACAACTTCAAGTAAGCATTAATTTCCAATAATAAAAACTGGTAAACCAGTTACACCAGTCATTAATATCATCATGTGCTGATGATGAATTTTATTTGATGAATTCTAAATATGTTTATAAACTTGGCGATTTATGTATTCACATGGGTACGTAAAGAAAACTGAAAAACCTTTATACAGTATAAAACTAACTTTACGACGAAAGATTTTTTTGAACAATAGACATAGTATTGAATGAAGTACATTATAAATATTAGAAATAGCGGTTCGATATTGGCAATAAAAAACTATTGGAAATACATTATCTAGTTCAGCGTTCATATACGATCAAACATTTAATATGCAAACGCGTACGCCTGCAAAATGTAATAACATTTGGTTTAAAAAATGTTGATTGTTAATAGTGAGGTTAAGATTAACACACATTTCTTTGGTCGAAAACAGGCGAACTCTTTGTTAAAACGATGCTGCACTGGTTGTTTTCAATATATTATACGATTTAATTAATCATATACTGTATACAGTGATTTGATGAATGGATTAGTGGGTGCTTTAGTATTGGATCAACTACCAATCCAGTTAAATGAGAGCAACATACGCGTCTCCATTCACAATTTCGGGACCAAAACTTCTCAAAGTCAACATCCAGTAGCTCGGTTTCGAAAAGGGTACACGAAGTACTTGATCTCGAGTGCATCAGCTTTAAAGCCCGAGTGCACACTGTATGTACTATTAATACGCCTTACAAACCTTAAGACACTTGGAAGTAACAAAATGTATTAAAAGTTTTCTCACGGGATTTATCCGGGATCTATTTTATATGGAAAAATGGTAATATGTCGCGAATAGAAGGAATTGAAATACAAATGTTACCTCTTCTTCTTGGCTGTTATATTCATTTAACTCGTTCTCTTTTTCAGTTTTGCTGCTGTTCATTTTGTAAAGCCCGAATTCAAGTTTATGTACGCTTTTTTTTTTAAGGATCCAGCTGTCAGTACAGTTGATATCCAGGAGGCAGATTAGACCCTCAGTATACAGTCCAGAAATTGAAGAATGCTAATCTCTTCAATTAGTCAACATCAAAGACCTTCGGCGTTGAATGGAAACCAGAAAGCCAAAAACAACGAGGAAACCAAGATCAAGAAACGACTAGGGTCTCAGAGTCTGGGTGCCAGGGAATCCTGCCAGTTTCACTTCAGGCTGTTACTCCGGGAAGACGCCTATGAACTCCAATTCCTAGGTCTCCAGAATACTCCACTTTGACTGCTGTGTGAAGAAAACCTGATCATTTCTCTTTTGTTGCTGGTATGGCCAGAACGTCAGACAGATCCCGACAGAAGTAAGCTTTCTCTCATTGGGAGGCTGGGTACAGAGAAACAGGGGGCAGGTCGTACTGTATGTTGTGTTCCACTTAAGCCATTAGGAATGTTTCTAAAAACGCAACTTGATAATAAGGATACGAAACAGAAGAGCGCTTCAGGCTGAAAAAGATATGCTAAGAAAGAGAGCGAGAACCGGCAAGAAGGTTTTTTGGGGGTATTTTTAATGTAGCTGTATCAGCGCAATCTTTCTTATACCCCGATACAAAACGATTATTGATCAGTAGGCACATAGATACTAAACAATGAACACGGGTCTTAAAATGTGTTTTAGTTCTAATTTTAAAGAAAATTTTATGCGCCTAAACTACATTTAAAAGACAGAAACAGCTTTCGCTCACCAGCATATATTATGCAAAATAAGGAATACTGTATGTAATACGGAGGAAGTCAGTTGTTGATATTGTCTCTTGATTTTTTTCTCCTTTGTTTGATGCAGGCAGTTTAAAGTGCATAGGCTTCCTGGCAGGAACAACTTCCTTCAAATCCCCCTTGACATTTAATTGAATAATAATTGGGTGGCTGAGATATCGTGTATAGCTCTGTCCAAGCAGTCTTCATTCAGGATCTTTAAGTCAATAGTTTGTCTTGGAGCTACTTGCAACTTTATTCAGTCTTACTTAAATGATGCCAAGATTTTCAAACTGTGAAAGGCCAAAGTTGATACAATGATCACTATGCTTAATACTTTCTACAAAAGTTTTCTTTTTCTTTGTAGGCTTCACCTTTTCGTTTTTACCTGCTTTTTTTATCTTTGGAAACAGCTCATCAGCTGATTGCTGTCAAAGGAGATACAGTACCAGGCATGTCTATGTACACTACATTTTGGTCCTGTATACGCTTATCTTTTGGTTTTCTTGTAAAGTAGATTGCACTTTGCAATGATGGTCCATATATATATATTTTAAATCCATAGGACTCATATATAATTAAAACTACAATCGACATTTCTTGTTTTATATTCATCCAATTTGCAGGATATACTGAAGGCAGTACAGCGGCACAGTAGTTAGCATATCTGCCTTGCACTGTTGTGGCTCTGGGATAAATTCCAGACCTATCTGCTATTTCTATGGAGTTTGTGTGTTTTCCCCATGTTTGCATTGCTTTCCTCTGGATGCACAGGTTTCCTACCACAGTCCAGACACATACCATTAGGTTAACTGGCTTCTGTGAAAATTGGTCCTGATGTGAATGTGCGTGTGTCTGTCTATTCTGCAAAGCACTGGTGTCCTATCCAGGGTGAACCCTGCTTAGCTCCTGTTGCTTGCCAGAATAGGCTCTGGCTCCCCCACGACCCTGAATTGGAAGAAGCAGTTAGGAAATGGATGGTAATTCTGTATATACACCTCCAACACACCCATCTGTCACGGACATTTGACCCACCAGAAACTCCACAGTGCTCTAGAGAGCAAGTGGCATTCTAAATGCACAAATGCAGTGGTATGCTCAGCTAGAATACACTAAAAGTGATGCCAGACTGGTCTTAGTTTAAACACACTTAGTAAACACATACTGTATGAAACTAATGTGTGGGAGATTCTTGGTATGAACACACACAGTGAACGTGTGTGAAATCTGCTACAAGACAACCAAATCCCTCAGACCAGAAGGAAATTGTGACTCAAGATCAGGGATCAGAGAGTTGATCAATGGACCCACAAAAACTACCAGCTACCCTCCTTATATAGTGAGGGTATAATTGAAATACGTTTGACTACATGTTTCAATGTACTCCGTCACCAGTTCATATTATCATCTCCAATGCCTTTAACACCTGTATGGCAAATGCTGGCCCATGTTCCATAGCAAAGAACTGGAAGATCTGATAAAGCTTTTAAAAGTTGTAAAGTTAGAGTCATCCAAACAAAACTAGTTGATTAGCTGTATAATTGTGGGTTCTAGTGGATGTTTAACATGGATTTAGAAAACTTATTTCTTGCTTGACTAGTTACAGTTATTTTAACAACCAACAGTAGTAATGGACGCACACAGAGCCTACTCTTATGTGTTGGAAGTAGTACGGATGTAGAGTTTGGTCATTTTTACTGCATCTCATTTTGTAGAGGTAGTTTGACTACCGACGAGGAACATAACTATTGAAGTGTGTTTGGACAGTTGAGGCATTTGACTAGATAAGCTTGCTACATATTTAGGGTTATGCAGATCAGTGAAAACCAGATAACTTGGCAATTTATGAGACTGGAATTCCCCTCCAGCCAGTCCATTCAACTAACACTATCTGTAAAAAGACGGACAGCAAGAAATGAAAAATATAACAGGAAAGAGAAGAGATACAGTTACAGCTTTTACAACTCACTGGGTTTTAATCATATTTGCAAGATAAAACAACAACATGGGTTTACACTTGTTTATTGTCCCTGCAATCCTAGAGCAGGTAAGTGCAAAATGCTACCTTGCCTTTTAACTCTTTCTAACTTCAAAAGGAGGCTTCTCAAAAAGATTTCTCTGAGACTTTGAATGGCATTTTAAAAAATAACAATAATCCTGATATGAACCTCCTTTGCTTTCTTTACAGGAAGTTACGAGCTTTATGAAGGTACAGCTTTTGCTTTAAATTTGAACAAAAACACATGGAGTGGATTTATTAGTTAGAAACTACATTTCTGAGTTTGACCCAAAAAACATTCTAGGTTAAATAATCAATTAAGTAAAATATGAGGACTATGAAAGAATTGATTAAATTATTAAAAAGTACAGTTTGGTAAAAAGAAAAAACAAAAAAAACAGGAAAACAGTTTTCTCAGAGATAATCATGTGAAACATTCCTTCTTTTATTTTCATTGGCTTTCCCTTGCAAGTAAGGATGGTTGTCGTCTTTGGCTCTGAATGTGACTAATGAGGCCAATACAGCTTCTTCGAGCTTTTGGGTCAAGTCTTTGTGAACTCTCTTCAATGCTCTTGATTTGCTTCTTGTTCTTTCAAATTGGTTCAGTTATGTGCCATAATCTAATCCAATAAAGCCTATGTTTATGACATGTAAGATTATGATGATAATAAATACAAATAAAATAGAGGATTACCTGTAAAGCACTAGGATTCTAAAGGATAACTACTATGGATTTGGAAAAGATAGGACTTGCTTAAGTAATCTGATCAGAGTTATCTGATCAAGCAACAGCAGTACTGAATTCAAACAGCATTTCTGACATGGTACTGTAGGCCAGGTGTAGATTATTGTGTGTTCAGAATCAGTGTAGAGTATGTAATGGGAGCCCGTCAAAGTTCCCGTGAAGCATAGTTCAGGACCCTATGCAGACGGTATAATCTGGAACTGGAGAAGGACATCTGGTGGAGGAGACGAAGAGGATCAAGACGGGATGACAGACAGGAGGGTGTGACTACGGTGATCCATTGCTCGTGGGGGCGTGGCGATGGCAAACAGGTTCAGGGAAGTCCAAATGGGGGAATCCGGGGCGCAGTCCAAATTCCAAAACGGGAATCCATCCAGGACAAAACAAACACAGTAAAAATCCGGAAAGGGATCTAGAACAGGGAGAGGGTCAGGGAACCAGGAAGATAAAAACTGGATAACGAGGCCGGGTGCTCCGAGCCCCGGACTCAGCTTGGTCAGGACACCGTTAGGAAGCCTACGCCTTCAAGCCGTGGACGTAGGACAACTTGATGGTAAGTGGTTCTCCAGGCATCTGTCTTCCAATGCAGAGCCAGGAGTAGCGAGAGCGCCCAGCTTAAATAAGGAGGGACAAACAGAGGGCAGGTGCACATAATCTACTAAAATACGAAAGGGCCGGAGCGCCCTTAAGAGGAGGGATTCCGATCATGGCATAGTATGTCTCAGGACCTTAGAAAATGTGTGGAGAAATTTCCAAAGGTTCTGTGTCATTTGTAGTGATTGAATATTCTTACAGTCCTGATCTCTAAGGGGAGGGAAAGAGGACCCACATGTTGGCACAGTCCCCATCATTTGATCTGTAATATGATAGTTTTCACTCCATCCTTGTTCTTAGGTATATGGCTGGTAATTTATATTCCCTTGGATTACAAGCCTACAAAATTCTACAGAGACAGAGGCTGGCAACAATCTAGAGGGATAATTTCCAGTACAGTAAATGGCAATTGAACTTCATTAGCATTAAACCAGATGCTCCCTTCTTCATTATTAGATTACCACAAGAATAAAATCCTTTTGCTCCAGATGATGATTTGTATAAGATAAAGGATGTACCATCTTCCATTCCCAACCTGCCATTCTACTCACCTGCTACACAACCTTATTGATGCACCCATATTGATGCCTATTCTGCAAAAGATGACCAAATGTAGAAGATGCAGAAAGCGCAAAAGATGAAGAATAGGAAGATTAATAATAAGATGAGAAGATGAGTCCTAGAATGACGATGCTTGCAGTACTCTATCACTGGTCATTCTACTCTCTTGGTGCACTCTGTATTCATAATGTTGTAATTAAAATAAAAAAGTGACATTTCTAGAAAATTGCAACTTTAGAAACTTTAAAGAGAACGAAATAAATGTAAGATGTACTGTAAATAAAAAATGCCTGTCCTTTAACAATGCAATACACAATGCAATGTAATACTGCTTTATTAAACAAGGCAATTTGGTATAACATGATGTTTTTATTCATGACTTTGAGCAGTTAAATTTTAATTATTGTCAGGGGCAGTAGGTTAACCTACCATATTGTAGTAGTTGCAGAAGCTCTTTTTAACCCATTAAAATTGATTTGCCAAGCAACCTAAGCAAATGCATCTTTAGGGCATAAAAGACAGCATTTTCCTTCCTCAATAAATAGTGAGAGAACAACTAGACTTTGCAGCTATTTCTCGACAGTAAGACTGTCATGTGGGTGTCTCAGTATCAAAACTAAAAAGGATAGGGTAGCTTATGCAAAATAGAATTGTATTTGTCAATATATCTCCCAGTCAATTATTCTTATTGATTATTAGAATATTGTCTCACTGTGAGAGCTTTCTGCTAATAATGTGTGTTCAGTGTACTCAGTGTTAAGTAGTCTCTGTGTGTGTGTTTTGTGTTAAGGTAGTGTAGCAGTTAGGGTTGGGACACGGGAGGTAAAAAGTCTTTATAAATATTTCACACCAGTGTTTGTTGGGAGGAAACCTACATACAGTGTGCTCTGCAGTCTCTCTGTTG